CATTGCTGACATTGAATATGCAGACGGGCAGGATCTCAGTCCTAGAACCACAAGGCCAGAATTCTCCCAATTACCTGAATGAGCTGATTCTTCCCCAGATCTCAGGCAGCTGATGGTTGATGCTGTTTTTTTGAGATCCTAAGCAGAGAATACAGCTGGGACATGTTATGTCCTGACTTCTGAAAATCATGAAATAATGGATTTGATTTGTTTTATACTGCTTAATAAAGCAAAACATGTAAAATAAATTCTTTAACCGTTCTTTCAAACTAGCTCAAATTCATGGAATAATCTCCAAGGGATCTTCCAGCCTGTCGCTAGTTTTTTTGTTTGTTTGTTTGTTTTTGTTGTTGTTATTGTTGAAAATTGATTTTATAACTTAGTTTTCTCCTTTCCTAGAAACCTATTCTGATCCACAGAGGAGAAATCACCTACAATTTGGAAACTCTTCTGAATATCCAACCTAATTGATGTAGGCCAACAGTCATAGCTGAGAGGCCACTTTTCATCACTTTTTTCCAGATATCACTACTTACTTAACTTTAGATAATTTCAGATGTTTTGGAATATTTGTGGACTTATTTGCTTTTTTTCTGATTATGCTTACTCTCTCTGTCATTCTCTGTTCTTTTCTTTGTGTATTAGTCTGCTCAGGCTACTATAAGAAAATATCATAGTCTTGGTGGCTTAAACAACAGACATTTATTTTCACAGTTTGCCAGGCTGGGAAGTCCAAGATCAAAGTATTGTTGATTTGGTTACTGGTGAGAACCCTCTTCCTGTCTTGTAGACAGCTGCCATCTTGCTGTGTCTTGTTTATTTCTTTTTTGTTAAGTTATTATTTTTACTATATATCATCTACCATTGCTACATCATTGCTGCTCCTTTAAATCAGAGCCTGGCTTTTCATTTTTATCATGACAAGAAGTCTCAAGATTCATAATTAGAAATACCCTCTACAACATTCCAAATATTTGAAATATGTTTTCAAAGCTACACTCTTACTGTGTCTCATGCTGTGTAAAGTAAAAAAATAAGGTTTTGAGTTTTTCCAGTGAAAACTGTTAACACGTTCTCAGAACAAATGTAATTCATTTTGTATTTATCACTAGAACTTAAAGGCATTATTAACATTTCTACACTTTTATGAAGCACCTGGTCTATTGCCTAGCATATAGTCTTTGAATAAAAACATAGGTGCGTACTTTTGTTCTCTTTGAATAACAGGGAAGAGATTTCTAGTCACCACAACTGTTTCTCTACTTTTCCTTGATAAGTAGGTGAATATGTATCTAATAGCAGTTTTAACGAGTTCATCAAATACCACTCTAAAAGCAAGCCCTGAATGAATGCAAGGGTAAAACATGTATAAACAGTTAACCATTGACAGCCTTGTGCATATCATAAAGCTACCAGAAACCCTATGCTGGAATGGCTGCCCGTGTCTTCTTTCTAAGCATTGTAATTACTTACCACCACAATACTTAAAAACAAAACTCCCCAAAATGAGAATCATTTAACACTAAATCTCATTTAAATGACCTCTCCAAAGTCTTATAAAAATAGCAAAGAGAACAACAATTAAGCTACCTTAAGATATATGTGAAGGGTTGCCCAAACCGTAGACATCCTGCTGGTTACCATTCTAAATGCATTCATTTTCACTCTCTCCTCTCTGGACAATGCAGTTTAGAAAGGAGCTCCTGGCTGCGGGCACTAGGAGCATGATGCGGCATAAATAAACCCAACTGCTGCAAGGTAATGAGATGAATGGGCTCTTTCCTCCTGGAGAAATTTGACTTACGTATTTCCAAGAAAAAACAACTGAATTGTTTCCTAACTTCTTAAAAAGAATAGTGCTACTCTAACATTGTATGTTTACATTTAGGCCTGACATATTATGAAACTTGAATTCAACTGACAAAAATTTAGAAAACACTTTAGAAGGCATGTAAGGATTTAGCAAATATTTATTTATCATCTAAGTTGAACTAAATAGAAATTATACATAACAGTACAAACAAATTGTGCAGTGTATAGTGGCAGATCCACGCGATAGTCAATAAAACACATTGTCAATGGTCTTTGCAGCTTGCCACCAGATGATAATGTCCCATGGGTTATAATCAGTGAAAAGAAATAATCTGGCTCATGCTGTTATGGACCCAGGCAAGCACATAAAAGGAAGGCATACAGACAAGAACACCCCAATATAGTACTCTAGCTTATAACTAAGCCATATAAACAAACAACACATTCAATTTATAATGAAAGCCAAAATATAATGTTATCTTCCCAGAAAAATAAAATAAACATGCCAGCTTAAATAACACACTACAATCAAAAGAGTGTTTGTGGAAATCTATTATTTATATCTGATTTAAATGCAACAGTATTGTCCTTAAAAATGAGCACTGCTTTTGAGAAAGTATTTCGATGTGATACTCTGCTGTAAGAAAAAGGACATCGACTTCCTACTGTGCATTGTCGTCATAACTGCAGCACTTTCCTTCATGACCTCAAATATCTACACAATGCTGAGTAGTTTTCTTTTTTTATCAGGCTAAAGGCAATTCCTTTTTAAGGACAACAGCTGCTGTGTTTCTTTCATGCTTAACACCAACACTCAAAATGATTTATTATATTTTACAAATTTTACAAATGTTCATAATCACTATGAAGATTTACAAAACCTTACACCCTATAGCAAATATTAAGCACAATGGGAACCTCATAAGTAATTAACTAATTTTGGGAAGGAAAAAACTCATATATATATGGAATTGCCACCTACTAAATAGGCAAAGTCTTTCTGTTCTCTTTTTTCTGGAGCTCTCACTATTGTTTATTTCTATTTTTAATTTCTGTTTCCCCAAGTTGATAGCTTTGTGCTGAAATATTCAGTAATAAACACAAAAGACAAATTAGCCATGTCAGATGTTAGGCATGGAAGAGACGTTGCAAATCATGATGTGAAACACCTCCAAGGCTCATCCATCCACAGGTCCTCTCTCTTAACTGAGGGTAACATAGAACAGGTCTGCAGAAGCAGGAGACTGGCCCTGTATGGAGGTGCCCTTTTGAAACTAGGGTTGGTGGTTATGATTCTTTTTTTGCTGTGTTTTCCCAGAGGGCTTTTCTCTCCTTCACTGAGTTTATGTCTGGGGAAAATATAGTGGGGTCTGGGCAAAAGCATAATTCCCCAAGTGCCGCAGGTGGTTAGGCATGTGTCCTTCCCAAGTTCAAGAAAAAGGGGATACATCTTATCAATTAATTTGTAATTTTCCGAGCCTGAGCATTTCTCAAATGAGATTCTGAACATGAATTTTACCCCAGAAAGAACAAAAGACTAGGAATATGTTTTTGTGGTACATTTCAGATTCTCAAAGACAGAGCAACATTGGTTTTTCTCTTGAGAGGGCAATGGCTTTTTCTTAAAGTATGTCATGATGTATGTGTGTGTGCACACAGACACACACACACACCCCTTGCATGTATGGACAAAAGGGATGGGAGGAGTGGGGAGAGAGAACTGAAAAAACAACAACAAAAAAAGCGTATGTATGTATATACATAGATGTGCTCTCACTAAATTGTGGACTTGAGCCTTCAAATATTTTTGGGTTGTATTTATTTTTCCAGAATCAAGTTTAGCATTGTACATAAAATATTTCTTTTTCTGGTTTATAGTCGCTCATTTGAGTCAAATAGAATGTAGGTTCATTTAATTCTTAAGATGTGTCAGAAAAGTTACTTTCCTCAGTTTTATTTCCCCAGTTACCAAATATTTTAGTTCATAAGTGACATTATTGCTATCATTATTATTAACTGCTTTTATGTATTGAGATTAAAATAGCTACTTATGCCATATCTGCTTCTTTTTTTAAATTCAAATACAAGGGAACACCCTGCCTTCTCTTCTCTTGTGTTAATGGAAAAATATTTTCAATGAATTGCGCTTTATTGACTTACCTGTTCAATTTGAGTGTTTCAGACATAAACTTTGCTAAAGGTCCTATAATTTGTGATTATTGTTCTATTTTTCTACGTTGGGCAGGTTTACTGAAATATCTCTTTTTATGTAACTTTCAGTACATTCTTTTTCCAGTTGATATTGGTGGGCAGCAATGACCTCCAGTGGATTCTTATGTAAATAGCAACTGGGTTTTCAGATAATGTTTATTTTGAATATATTTGTATCCTTTAGACCTTTTGTAGCTGGGCAGTTTACTGAATGAACTTTTTAAACTTTCTTAGAACATTTATGTATTTGTTAATTTTAGAATAAAATGGAAAGTCAATACAAGTTATTAACCTTATTTATATAGCCTCTAAGCTAATTTTGGAAAAAAAAAAAGAATATTATTTAAAATTAACATTTAAAAATTCATACTTGTTTTTATGTGTAATTCATTTGTTTTAATTTTTATTTAAATGAAAAGTCTCAAATATTATATTTTAGAAAGGCAATTGCTAAATAAAATAGAAGAAAAAGCTTTAGGAAATAAACATTTTCAAAAATAAAATCTCTTGATACTATTTATAAGAGAAAAGTAAAAGTGCTCTGAACATCTTGGTAGTTCAGTGAACTCCTGAAATAATTTCCCACTTGTCAATATAAAATAGAGGAAAATTTGATATCTGAGAGCAAAATGCTTTAATATTTTTTTGGAAATAAAACACTATGTTTCTGGAATATAGTTTATATTTCAGGGAAGACTATTTAGAAGGCATAAAATTTAAGTTTTTATAGAATTTCAGTGCTGTGATATTATTTTTGGCTTGTGAGGTAATAAGTTATTCATTAACATCTTAAAGCATAATGTAAGCATTAACACATTTTTATTTCAGTTAGTTTTTTCTGAAAAATGGATTAGATGTCCCACTGAGAAACTGCTTTTGAATATTTACTAAACAAAACTGTAGAGTTAAAAAAAAAAAAAAAAAAAAGGTAGAGAGAGAGAATATACTTTTTCTACCAGAAGAGGGCAGCAAAAATGTTTCAATTACCGTTCTAAGTATAACTCCATTTATTTTGTTTTGACATTCTTTGAGCTCTTTCTGAGAAGTTACCTTCACCTCATTATTCCCTTCACTCCATGGTTCATTGAAGGTTTTATGAAAGGCAGAATTTTCGAGGTGAACACAATTTTCTTTCATGGTTTACAATAATTACAACACACCTGCTTCATCAAATTCATGGCTTTGACAACACTGATACAATAACTCTTAAAAATTACAGTTGACATGAGATTGTTAAAATATCTGATATTAAGTATGTATATTTTACAATGTGGTGAAAAGGCAAAATTCAGAAAGATTAAAACAGTTATTTTTATTTTTCCCATGACTATTAAAATCTCAAAATTTTCATCAGTATTCCCATTATCTTAAGTCTTGCAAGGGTAAAGTAACGGTTATGGAAAAGCAGTCAAGTACTCGCAACTACAGCTATAGTCACTTTGTGATAAATATAATGTGAAACCATTGAACCATATACTTATTTTTTTAAAAAGTAGTTAATTTTATGTGATGTTTAAGCAGTCAAAGGAGTATGTAGAATAATTTATCATAATACCTGTACAGTCATTTCTGTATTACAGAAATCTCTTGTAAGTAATGCAAAGAAGTTGGATGATTTCTCATTCTTTTTTTCTTCTTTTTTTTTTTTGCTTTTTTCTTTCAGGTTCCGAACCCAAGTTCTTCAGAAGCCAGCTGAGGGCCCGGCCCCGCGGGAGCCCAGCGCGTGCCTGGGCAGACGGTAGTGCTCGGCCTTGGGGCGGAGCTTCCTCTCCTGGGGGCTGGCGTACTTCCACTTGGAAGGGGACAGTTTATGCTTCTTCCGCTTCTTATCTGTGCACCAGACCTTTTCACAGTATTCTTCCACCCTCTGGAAGTTGCTATAGCCGATCAGCTGCAAGAATTCCTTGTACCATGGCTTTGCGCCGTGGGGGATGCTGCTCTGGGCTGGACAGGGCATCTTGGGAGGCCTGTCTTCTTCGTAGTCTTTGCTAAACATCTCCTCCACCCTCTCCTCTTCTACGACCTCCAGGGTGACCTTACGGACCGTGTGGACGAAGCCGTGCTCCACTGTCTGGCAGAAATAGGTACCAGCATCCATTCTGCGTACCCTTAGGAAGAGTAAACCCAGGTCCATCTTAACCACTCTGTCATCTGTCTTCACCTGCAATGACAAAAAAATTAATGACACTGGACTATTATCCAGAAGAATATTACACCAACCTGTAATCTATCTACCTCTACTGTTTTCATTTTCATTATCACATGATGAAATAATAAAAGCCATATATATATGGGAGAGGAGTAAGGCTAAGTAATTAAATCAGCTCTCTCTCGCTCTCTCTCTCTGCCCTGAACTTAATTACATTTGAGGTCACAATATCAATGACTCTGAAGTCATTTTATATGAATATTTTTTAAAAGCAAAGTGAGAGAGCTTTCCTTATAGTGATTTCAATTAAACATTAGGAAAAAATTCAGTTCTATATAGCACTCACAGTTAAAGTGAAATGACTATTTGTAAGATTTATTTAAGTTATTTTTTAATGGAAAGAACAAATTCCATTTCTCAAATTATTAGTTTAGGGGTTCTTATGCCTTCCAGACAATAATGGACAACATTTCTACAAGGACCTCTGTTTAGAGAGCTGAGCTACCTTCACCCTCTCTCCTTACCAAAAAAAAAAAAAAAAAAAAAAAAAAACCCCCTTTTTTTTTTTTTTTTTTTTTTTTTTTTTTTTTTATATTTATTGATTTCAGAGAGAGGAAAAGAGAGGGAGAGAGAGAAATAGAAACATCAGTGNGCATTCTTTACATGTCTGCAAGGCTGTCTATTTCACAGAGGTTAAAAAATTAGCAAGTAAAATCCAGTTCAGCTCTGAAGGGCTTCTCAGTCTAGTAAAAATACTAAGTTTTCATGTACCTTCAGTGTTCAAAGACCTCTTTTTTATGTTTGTAATGTAATCAGTTGTACACATTACTTCCATAAATAAATAATTACAATTTAGGGTAAGTAAGGCTTTCAACTAATAGCTCGTATTTTATTAGCAATAGTTGTACTAGTGAGTATGTGATTTGATATTAGACAAAACTAGATTCAAATACTGGCACCACTGTCTACTAACTGTGTGATCTAGGGCATTTATACATAATTTCTGCCTTAATTTTCTTTGTAAAAATGGAGGTAATAATCCTAATGTAACTTGAAAGATTCTGTAGTTTAAATAAAATAACATAGGCGATAATACTTTGCATAGTGCTATCAATACTTGCCTCTCTACTTTTCCTTATATACATTCCTTGAGCTAAAAAACAAATTGCTATGTGTTTTCATGTGGCCCAGCATCCTATGCTGATGGTATAAAGGTGATTACACTATACTGCCTCATTTCCCCTTTGAGAACACAAAACAAAAGCAATCTTCACCTTTGCCAATATAAAAGGGGCATAGCAGCAACAAACACAACCACATTGGCAGTCAAGGCCATTCCGACGAGCATGTTTTTGTACCAGTGGTAGGTCCTGGCATGGCCCACCAGGCTCAGCTCTCCTGAGCTCTGGTCAGTTCGGGCATGTCCAAAGTGGCAATGTGATTACTCATGTGATTACTCACATGTGGTCATTTGTATAATTGGTGATAATGTAGCCAAATGGCACTAGTGGTATAGTAAGATTGTACCTCAAATAGGGATGTTAATGATAAATTATAAGGCTCCCTGAGGCATTTTTTTCAGCTATGTAAGGTAAAGAAATCACTCAGAAGCTTCAGAGTGACATAGTTGAATGAGGGAAGGGGTTCCATATGTCCTTCATAGGTGCCTCCATTGACTTGGAAGGACCATGCCCTGGCAGATAAGGGGTGCAACCATTAACTCAAGAAGTTCTCCAGTGAGGAACCAGGAAGAGCACTCAAACCCAAACCATCTTCACTACATGGAAAAGTCTGTTTAATGACAGGTTTTGCTGAGAATCTATCCTTAGCACCTGCCACAGACAATAACTCTTAAAGGACTTTGTATTGCTCTGCTCATTTTAATGGGGCCTCTTGCCAATTTTCTCTTCACCACTAGCTTTCTCCATAAATTCCCCATCTACAGTAACCTGCCTGTGACATCATGCCTCTTGTAATACTGACTCTGAAGGGCAGCCTTCATTGTTTTAAAATTTGTGAGGGCATGTGACATAGATGGACTGGCCTACGTAACTGTCTTATTTATATATTTATTGTCTTTTTTTTTCTATGTAGTACAAGCCTTTATACTGTCCTGGGTCTTTTCTTNATAACTGTCTTATTTATATATTTATTGTCTTTTTTTTTTTCTATGTAGTACAAGCCTTTATACTGTCCTGGGTCTTTTCTTGGTGTCTTCTGTAGATTTCTAATTTCCTCTAAAGCACAATCCTCTGTCCTTCTGTGATCTCATGTTTCATTTGCATCCATTTGGTAATTCTTCTATTTCCTAATTTAAATCAACTTCTCTAAGATGGTGCATCTTACACATAATCTATTGTTTTCTGTTCCCTATAAGTTACAAAACACTGACCAAGATTTATATGATCCTTAATTATGTACAATTCATTGTTTTTCCACTTAGACTTCCCCACCCATTTACTTACTTCCCTGTTTCTGAAAATTACATCATCATTCTTCTAGTCACTCTATCTGCAGCTGTTGATCATGTCTACTTCTGTCATTATTGTCCTCATATCCAAAACATCCCAAATTTCCATCAACATTTCTTCAGTGATGAGCATCCCGAACATCCATTCCATTTCACTATTTTTGCCACAGTGCTAGACTCTCATACTTCATGACTGATTCTTTGACAGTTATTTCATGCCTAAAGAAATTTCCCTACACCTGGTCCCTTCTCATTCAGATAAGCTGATCTAAATGTTAACTCTTCAAACAGGCCTCCCTCACACCCCTGTAGAAGTGTCCTCATTCCCTTATTACCATCACTTCACTTGGTAACCTTTATACACCTGATCAAGCGTAATAATTTGCGTAATATAAAACCAGCCCTTGCCTTAATTTTCCTCTTACTCATATCTTCCCCTTTTATTTCAACAAATGAGTACTATTTTACTCTTCTTCAAAGTTCACTTCATTTTGTCATGCTTCTGACTGAGTAGTTATTCAGACTGTCTGTTGCTTGCCTGAGAGGTGGAAATTGCTCAATTAATCAGATTCTGCCTTTCTAAATCTATATCCCCAACAGCTTAAAGTAGAGCTTTCAGGCTGGGGTTGGTGGAATAGGGGCATTTCTGAGATCAGTGAGTTTTCAATAAGGATTTCTTAGATTAGTGTGATTATTTCCATGATAATTAATATAAATTTTTAAAAACTATATTTGGGATCATGTGGAAGATCAACCTCATTGTTAGTATTTGTGTTTATCATAGATCTGAGCCACTTTCAAAGCTTTGATAGTTTCCAGCTGCTAAGAACAAAGATGGATTTAATATGTTAATGATACGTTCCAGCCAAATGAAAACCAAACAGCATCCTTATGTAGTAATGCACATAAAAAGTTTTGAAGTCACTTGAATAAAGTGTTAAGGGGATTGAGTCATCACATGGCACACAGTGCTATAGGCAGATGTTTTATACATGCACACATATGTGGTAGTCTGTGTCCCATATTATGTTCATGGAGATACTTTATTTCAGTGAAAAAAAAATCATCACATTAAGTAAACATTTAAATGATGTATAGATTTGCTTATATTTTATTTGTAAATTTATTTTGGTTTTATGTTTGAATAAAAGTTATGAGCAAGAAGGATGTATTTTTGTGTGTGATTCTTGTGAACATTTAGTAAACATTTTAATACAAGTCATGCTACCAGCACAGGAACAATGTTTTAATTTTAAGGGCAGGTAGTGGGGACAACCTGTACAATAATAGAGTCAAGTCTTCCTTTTCATAATTCCTGCTCTCAGTTCCCTGTATTGCAATCTAATTTCCCACTTCCATGTCTTATTCTGGTCTCAGTCTTTCTTCCCCTTAGTCAACTCCCTTGTAGTGTTTACCAATTTATAAAATTTCCTTCTAGGCTTAAACTTTAGCATCTTAAGTGAATACTTTCTTTATAGCTCATGAAGATGTTTTGTTTCTTTTTTATAAGTCAATCACATTCATATTTGTAGCACATAAGATGGTATTTATAACCCTCTTCAAATAATTCTCCCATGCAAGTTTCATCTCTTTAATACAGGGTGGGGCAAAAGTAGGTTTACAGTTGTGAGTACGTGAAACACAAAGTTTATTCTTGTATTATTATTTATTAAATATTGCAATATTTTCCACATGAACAACTGTAAGCCTACTTTTGCCCCACCTTGTACTATAAGTTTCATAAGGGCAAAGGTCTTTTAATCATTATGAATATTCCATAATGAGTAGAGTGCTCAGAAAAATAGTGAAAATGAAAACCTATTAACTTGTTCAGAGTATGCAAACATGCAAGACAATGAGCTATACCAATAAAAATATAGCCAAGTAATTCACCATTTCTGTGTAAACCCAATAGTGATTTGGATGGGGAGGAAGCAAGCATAATTTCAGGAGCAATTAGCAACTAATATGAGAGGCCTACATATGCCTCACAGATATACAGGACAAGCAGCTCTAGGAAACCGCCTTCACCTGAAAAGCATCTGCACACAAACATCCTCATCGAATGATCCTTTCTTCTCTTTCTACTATATCTCTTGTGAGAGTGAATAACACATGAGAAAATATAAAAGTTATCTAGCCTAGATTCTGGCATATAACAAGTGGTTTATGGAAGTGTTTTAAAATAAAATAAAGGCAAAATTGAAATAAATACAAATCACTGACCTCTGGATTAAGAGAGCAATGATTTAAAAAAAAATCTGGCATACAAAGAAGGCTTTTCTTTCATTATCAGAAACCCAACTTCGAGAAACATGGCATTGTGCATATATATAAAGTCCAGACTAGTTCGAAGATGTGGAAGCAAGATAACTACAATGGGACTTGTTCTACTTCATTTATGTGCATGTTAGAGATATGGCCTGTCTCAGAATTCAGGTCTCTCCTCCTGGTTACAGTGAACCATATATTCAAGAATAAAAGTAGTTTTAACTCTTAGATCTGGATGGCTGTACACTATGTAGGTTAAAGCACCTTGAAA